TCACTTGTGTCTTCATTAATTCTTGCAATACCCCCGGAGTTCCTCTATCTGTTTCAAAAGTTGTCTGCTCTGTTTTCCTATAGTTATTTTAAAACTATCACCTGTGACTCCAACTCTTCCCTTTCAGTATCACTTGGCAGTGAAAATGGAAGCCATCAAATGGGGACATTTTCAACTTTTGGCCACCAAACCTAGAAACTGTATAAATTCTTCCCAAGGACACGCTCTACTTGCATGAGATTCCTTATGCTGTTTATAGTGGTGAAACTATTTCTCAGATTAATAGATTTGTTTTCTAAGAACAAAGTTTTACATTAAACATTTATCTGTAGCTAATGGCACCAGTGGTTTTTATTTCTTCTGTCTAAGCTACACTAACCAAATTCCTTATTGATCCCAGATGGGTTTTTATTTTCCTCCTCAAGGCTGGTACTCTGCCATTTGAGCCACACCTCTACTTCTGGGTTTTTGCTGGTGAATTAGAAATAAGTTTCATGGGCTTTTATGCCCAGGTTGACATCAAACTATGTATGATCCTCAGATCTCAGCTTCTTCTTTTTTTTTTTCTCTCCAGTCGTGGGGCTTGAACTCTGGGCTTGAGCACTGTCCCTGCACTCTTGAGCTCAAGGCAAGCACTCTACCACTTGAGACACAGTGCCACTTCTGGTTTTCTGGTGGTTAATTGGAGATAAGAGTCCTACAGACTTTCCTACCTGGACTGGCTTTGAACTGTGATCCTCAGATCTCAGCCTCCTGAGTAGCTAGGATTACAGGTATGAACCACTGGCTCCTGGCAACCCTAGATTTTTAAAAAACAATTTACTAAGCAGGTACTTCGTTGTTTTCTTGGCCAAACTGAGGACATTTCAATCTTTTTTTTTGTCGGTCATGGGGCCTGAACTTTGGGCCTGGGTGCTGTCCCTCAACTCTTCAGCTCAAGGCTAGCACCCTACCACTTGAGCCTCAGCTCCACTTCCGGCTTTTTTTTCTGCTTATGTAGTGCTGAGGAATCGAACCCAGGGCCTCATACATGCTAGGCAAGAACTCTACCACTGAGCCAACTTCCCAGCCCTGACATTTCAATCTTAGGTGTCAGTTTGCTGGGATTAAAATCCTGGGCTGTTATTTACTTTGGGAATTACATGAATGTCCCCTACCCCTTCCAGAGTTGTGCTTTGCACAAGTCACTAGGCCCATGTGGCAGTCCAGGGTTGCCCCCATCACTTTCTGACTTTCTGTCACTTGATGGAAAGCAGTCCATCACTGATTTGGTAAGCGCTAAGAAATTCCTGTCTGGCAACCTCTGGATCAAGCTCTTTGTGTGCCAATGTTGGGGCTTAGACTATGAAGAGGGTCTCTCCAGACAGATTGCAGGCATCTTGAAGGCCATGTATGTTATGTGGAAGTATAGCGATGTGAAAAGGTTTTGAGAGTCCCTAAGCAATTATTCCTCCTCAGAATCTGCCTACTTTGGGTAGGCTAATTCAAGGCTTTTAGACACACCCTGTCCATCTGCCCTGGTGCATGTATAATTTATAAGTCCCTCCTGCAGCATCATGGTCTTCATCATCTCCGTTTCCAAAGTTCCCACCACTGTCCTCCACTTATTGAAAACCTCCTGTTGAGCAGCAGCTATATGTGGTTCACCATTTTTGTCCCTGTGGCATCAACTGTGGTCTCCAGTGATATGGTCTGTGGTCTCAGGGTCACCTCCGGAGAAGCCTCTCCAGATAGTTTCAGGTCACATGGAACAACTTTTATTGATTCAACAAAACTTGCTCCTGTTATGTGTTAAGCACTATGTGAAATGTTTTGGATACCAGGAAACCAACACTATCCCTACTTTCTTGGGAATTTTGTAGTTTAATAAAAAAGACCAACATTGGGACTGGGAAGATGGCTTAGTGGTAGAGTGCTTGCCTGCATGCATGGAGTCCTAGGTTCAATTCCTCAGTACCATATAAACAGAAAAAGCTGGAAGTGGCACTGTGGCTCAAGTGGTAGAGCACTAGCCTTGAACACAAAGAGGATCAGGGACAGTGCCCAGACCCTGAGTTCAAGCCCCAGGCCTGGCAATAAAAAAGACCAATATCAACTCTCCATGCTCTAATTTCATCAGTCATTGTTTCTGGCAAATGCTAGTCTGGTAGCATTCATGAGCTTGTATGCCTAATTTTGCCAGAGTCGTATTAAGAACAAGTATCACAAGTGGATGGTCACTTACACAGCTCATACTTGTATTCCTAGCTACTCAAGAAGCTGAAATCTGATTTCATGGTTTGAAGCTAGCTTGGGCAGAAAAGTTTTTGAGACTCTGATCTCCAATTAACCACTTAAAAGCTGGAAGTGAAACTGTGACTCAGGTGCCAAGTAAGAGGGAGAGGGCCAGAGTTCAAGCCTTAACACTGGTGCACACGCATGCATGCATGTACACACACAACACACATACACACACACACACACACACACTCACACACACAACAAGTATCACCCAGCATACAGGTCAAGGAACTGTGTGGGGGTTAGAGAGGTTACGCTTTCAAAGAAGAGGGAATAACCAGGGTCCAATGGTTCATGCTTATAATTTTAACTACCCAGGAGGCTGAAAGCTGAGGAAGCCAGTTGAAGCCAACCTAGGCAGGAACATTCAAGAGACTCTCATCTCTGGGTAATGACCTAAAAACCTGAAGCATTGCTATAGCTCAAGTGGCAGGGCATTATTCTTAAGCAAAAAAGCTCAGGGACAGTGCCTGATACTGGGACAAACAAAAGGAAAGGGAATAATGTGGGCAAAGAGCCAAGGTAAGAGAAAGCTTGGTGCATCTCAGGAGTGGAGAACTCAGGTTTTCTGTTCCAATTGCTGGGAGCAAAAGGAGAGTGACAATAGATGAGACTGGCAAAGTGGAAGGGTCCAGAGTAGGAAAGATTTTTCTGGCCTTACTGAATCTTTGAGATTTCATGGCAAAAGTAAAGGAGAAGCCACCAAAAGGAATTGTTGGGCATGCTGACTTTTTCCTATGGAGTTGCAGGCTTCAAAGGATTTTTGTGTGTGTGTGCTGGTCCTGGAGCTTGAACTCAGGGCCTTGATGCTGTCCTTGAGTTTTTGTGCTCAAGGCTAGTGTTCTACCACTGTAGCTACAGTTCCACTTCTAGCTTTCTGGTGGTTAAATGGAGATAAGTGTCTTACGGGCTTTCCTTCCCAGGCTAGTTTTTAATTGTAATCCTCAGATCTCAGCTTCCCAAGTAGCTAGTATTATAGGTGTGAACCACTAGTGTCTGGGTGAAGGATTTATTTTTTAGCCTTCTCCTACCATCCTTTGAAATAGAGTAACAGTGTAAGACTGTAGAATGTACTGTTTCACTTGGGAGTGACTGGGGGATACTTGGAAAGTGCCAGAGGAATAACACACACTGATGGAATTTGAAGATGTTTTGATATAGAAAGGATAGTTGAATATACATGTTTATTCAACTGGACTTTAGAGTGCAGACACTGAGAAAGATTTATTTAAATGTTTTCAAGATGGACTTGGAGAAGAGAAAGAAAAAGGGGGGCAATTAAATCAGAGAAGTAGGGCAAGGTTTTGTATATGAAATGGGAGTTAAGCTGCATTCTGGTGGAAATACAGGAATTATCTAGAGCATGGCCAAGTGGGGAAGATGCATGAAAGTTAGAGAAAGTTTTGGAGGGAAGAATCAGTCCCAGTGAAAGCATATAACATGAAGGACATTAAGACAGGAAGAACAGGGGCTGGGAAGGTGGCTCAGTGGTAGAGCGCTTGCCTTGCACGCCTGAGGCCCTGCGTTCGATTCTTCAGCACCACATAAGCAAAAAGAAAAAAAAAGCCAGAAGTGGCGCTGTGGCTCAAGTGGTAGAGTGCTAGCCTTGAGCTGAAGAGCTGAGGGACA